CAGTTGCTTTCTTTCGCTATTTTATCTTGAATAAATCTGTAGTCCTGCACCTTTCCTTATATATATGTCCATGGTTTTTTTCAGTGCCTGATCTGTCGTCAACTGGTAAGACCATTGATTATTATTTGGTGGTTCGTGGACACAAAGAGGCCTACAAAACGTTTGTAAGAAGTCTGTGATATCATTTACAACAACCTGCCCCACCTTTTTTTTTTTACTGTAACATGCAATCCTTTTCACTATTCTAACATTAAAAACGCCTTTTTTTTCTTTCTTTTTTAGTAAGACTATTGAGGTAGACTTGAAGAATCTGCAGGTTTTATCTAATTGGAAAGCACTGGATTAGACAAGCAATGATATTCCAAAATGCATATAAAACTAGTATAACGACCACAGACACATGCTTGAAACAGTTACAAAATCATGTCGTGATTTGACAAAGCGTGTTAAGAAAGGTGGAGACAGACATGTTTCATGCAGAGTGGCAAACATTGTTTTAGAGCTCCTGGGTAGTTAGTATTCATTGGATTTTTTTTTAAGGGTATGCAGGAGTGTTAAGAAATGAACAAGCAGACAGACAGGTTGGTTCTGCACCAATGAAAGGTGAATTGATGCATGACAAGCTGGATGTGGTTAAGGTCTTTTGGTGCAAGTGAACAATGCAGAGGCATGAACTGATCATTATGGTCTTGAGAGAATGGTACAGCTGGCAGTAACCAGGAGATCTGGTCGACACTCTACACTCAGAAGAGAGAATGGTACAGCTGGCAGTAACCAGGAGATCTAGTCGACACTCTACAATCAGATGAGAGAATGGTACAGCTGGCAGTAACCAGGAGATCTAGTCGACACTCTACAATCACATGAGAGAATGGTACAGCAGGCAGTAACCAGGAGATCTAGTCGACACTCTACAATCAGATGAGAGAATGGTACAGCTGGCAGTAACCAGGAGATCTAGTCGACACTCTACAATCACATGAGAGAATGGTACAGCAGGCAGTAACCAGGAGATCTAGTCGACACTCTACAATCACATGAGAGAATGGTACAGCTGGCAGTAACCAGGAGATCTAGTCGACACTCTAAACTCAGAGGAGAGAATGGTACAGCTGGCAGTAACCAGGAGATCTAGTCGACACTCTACACTCAGAGGAGAGAATGGTACAGCTGGCAGTAACCAGGAGATCTAGTCGACACTCTAAACTCAGAGGAGAGAATGGTACAGCTGGCAGTAACCAGGAGATCTAGTCGACACTCTACACTCAGAGGAGAGAATGGTACAGCTGGCAGTAACCAGGAGATCTGGTTGACACTCTACACTCAGAGGAGAGAATGGTACAGCTGGCAGTAACCAGGAGATCTAGTCGACACTCTACACTCAAAGGAGAGAATGGTACAGCTGGCAGTAACCAGGAGATCTAGTCAACACGCTACACTCAGAGGAGAGAATGGTACAGCTGGCAGTAACCAGGAGATCTGGTCGACACTCTACAATCAGATGAGAGAATGGTACAGCTGGCAGTAACCAGGAGATCTAGTCGACACTCTACACTCAGAGGAGAGAATGGTACAGCTGGCAGTAACCAGGAGATCTGGTCGACACTCTACAATCAGATGAGAGAATGGTACAGCTGGCAGTAACCAGGAGATCTGGTCGACACTCTACACTCAGAGGAGAGAATGGTACAGCTGGCAGTAACCAGGAGATCTGGTCGACACTCTACACTCAGAGGAGAGAATGGTACAGCTGGCAGTAACCAGGAGATCTGGTTGACACTCTACACTCAGAGGAGAGAATGGTACAGCTGGCAGTAACCAGGAGATCTGGTCGACACTCTACACTCAGAGGAGAGAATGGTACAGCTGGGAGTAACCAGGAGATCTGGTCCACACTCTACATTCAGATGAAAGAATGGTACAGCTAGGAGTGACCAGGAGATCTGGTCGACACTCTACACTCAGAGAAAAAGCAAGTTGGACATATGATAATCAAACTGCTACTAGCACCTTGAGAACTGGGACTCTTTCCTGGCTGCTGAAGATGAGGATGGAAGGATTATGGGAATGTCCTGGATGCTGTGATGTTAACACTTAGCACTCAGAGCTATGAAATATACCTTCTGAGTTTGCATAAACACACACACAAAATGGTATACAGTGGTATAGTGGTTTGTATGTTTTGCTTTCCTACACAGTGGTTTGGGTTAAATCATCACAGTGGTAGAATTCTTATATATTTAATTTTAGGAGGTTGTCTGTTTATAATGATCTTATCACTTACATATCATTAAAGGATTGTTTGGTTTTGACTCCCAAAAAAAAAAGAAGAATACAAAATAAAAAAAAAACATACAAATATTTTCTGTGCTCTCTCCACAATGAAGGTTGACTACAGGTCAGCCACAGCTCTCTTTGTAAATATTGCATGGTGATTCTTCCATGATGTGACTCTCGTATGGTTGTCAATAAGCTGCGATTCTTTAACTGCACACAAGAGAAATATAACCCTAGTAGTCAGAGATCATGACACTGTTAAAGGGATTCACTTTCCTCTAAGCCACAGAGCCTCACTAATAGTGCAGACAGGTAATACATCATTTCAAGAAAGAAAGAAAATGAAAACTATGCTCAAATAGAACATTAGCTTGCTGTCAGTTCTGGGGTCTCATTTTAGAGGGAAAAATGAAGAGACCACTGCCTGTCTAACAGGGATGTCATTGGAGACCACTAATTATAGTTATTTCCCTTGAAATGGGAGAGTGTCTGCCTGCAAAATGAGGAACCAATAGATATGATACAAAAACAAAAAAGTGAGATCTCTAAAACGGATGTGCATGTATAATTCAAGTTTTGAAACAAGGTACACAAAAAGTCCAGAAGGTGGACCTACAGTCAAAATTTTCCACCTAAGTTTTCAGCTGCTATTTAAGAGGACAAGAAAGAACAGGAAAAAGAAGAAGTATTTCATGATATACTCATACAGTATCTGGGGAGGATAAGGACCAGCTACATCTCTTGCTGAGTGAAATATTAAGATGGTTAACCCGAAGCTCAATACTGCTGCTTTTAACAGGGTATCCCTATGTTGTGTGATTTAACTCTTTGAGTCCCAAGGAACGCATCATACGTTCATAGGTTACTGCCTAGAAGCCCAATGAACTCATAATACGCCGATTTTACGTCTCTCTTGACTACCCCTTGGGCCTGTGATGCTAAACCCTCTGGGACTCAAAGAGTTAATTTTTAGGTTGCTTTTATTTTTAGTAAAATAAAAGTCCAAAATTGTGATAGCATAGTGACTAGGCCAAGTGGTCAGGAGTTCAAATCCCTCTTTAGGATAAGGATATTTAGGAAACTTAGATTTAATTTAAGGTTAAAACAGCCTTAAATTGCTATCGTAAAATGTTATGTGAAGTAAAGGTGAACCAAAAAATATTAACTAGATTATCAATTGAGTTCTGAATTGTCTATAAAAACAAAAGGTTAGTATTTGTGTACCAAACGCTTTCTTAGTTTCTATTTACATGAGGCACTTTCCTTATCTCATACTACTACACCTTCTTATGACCTATTTTGCCACAATTGTTACTTTATCCTTTTTGCCTCATTTGTTATTTTAAATCATACTTACCTGAACATTCATTAGTAAAGTTACAACTCCCTAGGTTATAATGAGCTAAAGTAACACCACTCTGGGACTCAAAAACTTGAAACCATTGATGAGTTAGTTACCTTAACCTTTCATAATGCTCTTTATTCCCCTCCCCCTTTTTATCATATACTATTCTTCTGGCTTTTAAAATTTAAAACTAGTAAATATGAGGCATATGAACCCACAGGCACTATATCTGTACTGAATTTCTATCACTTTACTATATAGAATAATACAAGTGTAATAATTTGTAACAATGTTTCAAATAAAAAATAAAGTTGAAACTTTTCCTAATCTTCATGCACTAAGATTATATCTAACAAAAGTGCAAAACTAGAAGAAAAAAAATTAACACACTATAGAACTCAAAACTCTTACAAGTGGGCAACCTTAATGGAAAACACAGATTATGAAAGAAAACTTGTGAAAAAAAAGATGAAATTTATTTTTTAAGGCCATATTGCAGGCAGGCAGAAAATTAGGGAGGAAATAACAAGCTCAGAATCACTTGTTTTAAATTGGTGCAAAAGGGTGCGACAAATTCACTAGTCTAAATGGTGCGTGTGCACACACGAGATGTGTGAGAGATGGAGCAGTACTTGCAGCGACTGGATCAGGATGGTTTCGTTTACCGCTTCCAACTTCACAGGAGTTAGAATGGCTGGCTGGCCCGGAGCGCCTGGAGGCCCCTGTGGAAAGGAAACAGACACTTAGGTTGTGTTCCGATAACTGGATGCATGCTAATAAAAGAGAAGGACATGTCAAAATGGATGTATGTAACGGATGAATTAACATGGATTAAACTGAAGTGTAGTGGCACATTACAGTTTAAACATTATTACTGCTGTATATATTTTCTCTCGCAATTGTATAAGCTTTAAGGGGGAACTGATGACTAGAGAAGATTAGTTTTACACTTGCTTACAAGCACAGCAACATTTGAAGTATTTTGACCATTACTGTGTGCTATTATCTGGCACGAGGCCATATTCTCCCTGGTGTTATACATAATTTTACCAGTACCGCCGTAAAAACAAAACAAAAAACATGGAGAAAGAACAGACACATCAATTCATCATTACTTTCCTTATGACCCTCTCTTTAATTGACTCTCTCTCATTTTCTTTTCTTCTCCCTCCCCTCTCCCCTTCTCTCTTTCGCACATGTGTTCTTTCTGTCTTGTACTGACCAACTCTTGTTTTCTCCAGTTCGCTTTCACTAATTAACTAATCTCATTGTCTGTTTATTGTAAGTCTGTCTGTCTGTCTGTCTCATAATGACAATTATTTTCACAAAAGCTACTGACTCAGAAAATATAATAATTACAATTATTAATCTTTCTTACCGGATTACCCATTTCACCTTTGAACCCTGGTTCACCTTTTAGCCCTCGGATCCCCTATAAAAAGAAAACATAACATATTAATTAGATGTGATTTTAGAATGAAAATACATAATATTTACAAAGTAGTAAACATCAGACAAACATTAATGAGAGAGGCTAAAGGTGCTGGACGGGATTCTGATGGTGATACTGAAACAAATGCACAGGACAAAACAGAATGGAAGGTTAGACTGCAAGCCTTATGTAAATGTATAATCGTACAAAAGGATGATATGTTGAATGTTGAAAAGAATCAACATCACAGCACTTGGGACACCCCTATTAGCGCTCCATCCCCAACTTCAGCAGCAAGCGAAGAGTTAAAATTCCAATGGTACCAGTAACTGTCTGATTGTATATCCGTCTTGCCTTTCCAGTGAGTGTCGAGCGTCGGCCAGAGCCCCTTGTAACTCCTTGCAGTGCCATTCTCCTCAGACCGTAATGATCTATCTGTTCCTTGGCACTGTTCACTCGCTACTAAAGGGCCCTCACAACATCCAGCTTGTCATACATCAGTTCAACACCAAGTGGAGCAGAACCAGCCAGTCTATCTGCCTGCTTATTTCCCAACACACCAGCATTACCTGGAGAAAATATCCTAAGGATATAAGGACGATAGTAAATGTTTAAAATGTTTATGCAAATTTACTGTGTAGAAACAGGTAGAAATGAGAAAGCTGAACTTACCTGAGTCCCAGGTAAACCAGGTGGTCCTGCAGGGCCAATAATTCCTTGAACTCCCTATAGAATATAGGAACCATTTTACTAGACTAGAATTAAATACAGACTATTTTTAACAAACTGTTTTCACGTTCTGGAACGGGTCAAAGTCTGATTCTGGGCGATCCTGTCCCTTGTAGAGGTTCGCCATCTTGTCGTTGTTGTTGTTGTTGCTATTGTTGCTTTGTTGTTAGATTAGACGCAGAATTTATAATAATTCATGTCTGTTACCGGAAACACTGTTTCCTGGCCTGTCTTAGGTGGGGATTTTCATCAGTAATTTCTCAGCTCGGGGATCTTAGTTCTCTGACAGCCGTGAGCACAGTCAAGCTCTTCCTCCTCTTCCAGCTTCTTCCCTGCTTGTTTTCTGCCTGTTTCAGCTTAGTCTCCGCTTCATTCTCCACCTCGTTCCCAGCTGGCCGAGTCTAACACAATGTAGTCTCCTTCATGGACTGATCGTCACATGGGCGCTGGGAACCTTCAAACTGTTTTCTTTTAAAAAGCCATTTATAAACTTCTTATAAACAGTTAAAAGCCAACAGTCTTTTTTAAGTACTGGCATGCTGGGATATGCTGGAAGATCCATATATTTTATATATCTATATATCTATATCTTTAACAAACTGTTTTCTTTTAAAAAGCCATTTATAAACTTCTTATAAACAGGTAAAAGCAAACAGTCTTTTTTAAGTACTGGCATGCTGGGATATGCTGGAAGATCCATATATTTTATATATCATGATGTTTATGTTTGTATTTATTTGACGGATCAACATCATGGCACATGGTTGTAACCCATAAGTGCTCCGTTCTACTTCTAACCCAACCCTGAGCCTAAAGAATCCAGCCCAGTGCACGAACTCTGTTGCACCGGCGATCCTGAAATACTTTGGGTAGATTTTTAACTCCAAATTGTATATATCATGGAAAGATATCAAACCAAACAAGAAGTATAACTTAACAGCTTCACGTTATCATAGTCATGTATAAAAAGTGAACATTGGGCCTAAAAAGCTTTTATCAGGGCATGACATGAATAGGCAATTTTACAATTACAAACAGGAATACACACAAAGAAACATAGAGAGACAACTATTCCCAAAATAAAATAAGAGTGTAAGAAATTTTCGCATCTAAATTTAGAAGAGGATTCATCTTCTTCTACTTCTTCACGTTCACCTCCTGAAAACTCTGGCGAAAAGTTCTGGTTGTTCATCCGCTTCTGGACTGCAGTCCTGTTCCAGAACCTGAGTGTTGCATGTGTATCTGTTTTACAGATCTGACTTATTTGTATGCAGACTGATGCTTCCTTGCCTCTCAGGCAGATGCACTCCAACATTGAAGGAAGCTCCCAGTTAGTCGACTCTTTTGGGTAGGCAGTGGGTCTGTTTTTGTTTTTCCTATAACAGGGCCCTGGAACCCTCACAGGGAAGACGAGGAACAAAAAAGAACCTATAAAAGCTACTAAAATGTAAACACATCTTTACTGTAAATAGTTAGTGACTTACCTATATTTTCAGGAACTAATAACTTACCGGCTCCCCTTTACTTCCCGGATCACCTTGTCTTCCTTTATCACCAGGTATACCCTTAAATGAGATTCATAAAGTCACTAACAATAATGATATAAACCCCCAGTGCAGACTAACAACCAACAACACAGCCAGTCATATTGCTTCGTTTTTAGGAAAAATAGCCTGACCTCATTCAATTTGCTGAGATCAGCTGTGGTTTTAATTGATTAGGTAGGTAGGTAGGTAGGTAGGTAGGTAGGTAGGTAGGTAGGTAGGCAGGTAGGTAGGTAGGTAGGTAGGTAGGTAGGTAGGTAGGTAGGTAGGTAGGTAGGTAGGTAGGTAGGTAGGGAGGGAGGGAGGTATGTAGGCGGGCGTGCGTGCGTGCGTTCATAAATTTAGAATCTGTTTAATTCACCATTGATCACTGGCATCATGAGAGCTAATAGACTGAAATGGTTGGGGCATATTGAAAGAATGTCAGATGACAGAGAAGTAAAAACTGTTTACACAAAGGAGATGAATGGTCATAGACCACAAGGCAGACCAAGAAGACAATAGAGAGATAATGTCCAGGCAGACCTGCAAACACTTGGTGGCATCAACTAGAAAGAGAAGGCCAACCAGAGAAACGAGTGGAGACAGGTGATATCTGCAGCAGTGAACCTCAAGGACTCACAATGCTGAAGAAGAAGAAGAAGTTTGAACAACGGATCAATATCATGGCACACAGGTAGTAACCCACTCTGTTCTTCTTTTAACTCAAGTCCAAAAAAGCTCAGCACAGTGCACAGGCTCTGAAGCACCAGCGAGGAAGAAGTACCATGGTTAATGACTAAGTGTCCCCAGTTGTGTTATAACATCTCTTTTGAACATACTAAATTATTATTATCATTATATTTCTCTATGCCATAAGGCAAAACTGTTTAATATTTTAAGAACAGGGGTTGGCATACCTGAATGAGGTGTTAATATATCTTAAGACAGAATAATGGTATCCCAGATATTTTAAAATATCTGCAAAGATAGATTACACAATAAAATGACTATAATTGTTCTTAAGTGTACTTAACATATACTGAACTCTTACAATCTTATACAATGACACATAAGCTCGGCAATACTGAATAACCAAATATAAGTGATAAGCATTAATATCCATTATTGAAATAGAAGCAAACTCTTTAGATCCTACTTATAACCCGGATCGGCTGAATAGGACAGTTGTTTAAATTACCATTACTACTTTAACATGCTCTCTTTTTGTCTCTCATTAGTTCAATCTTCCTATAACATTCCAGTTGTGACGTTTACAATGTATTCCAGTTTTTCCCTTTCTCATGCTGTGCCCCAAAAAATGTTAACTCTCAGCTCCACTGTGAGTTAATTTCTATGAAGACAGCATCATTAGAATTGTTATTTGTCTATGGTTTTTTTTTTTTTTTTATATTATTTTTTTTTAAATTTTTATTTAAAACCACACTTCTGCAGTGTTCACATAATTTCTCAGTAAACCTCTGGTTCTCCATGATTCACTTCCATTCCTCAGGATTGACTCTATATAGCTCTTCACAACTCTCTCGCATGAACTGATTTAAACAGGTTGCATCGAACATTCTTCACGTAAATTATCTTAAATAATATTCTTCAATAACATAGATTTACATATAGATTTTACAAATGAACTTAAGAGTACACATATACAGCTATTACACACAAATTTATCTTAGACACGAACATAAACTTACAGGAGCACCACTTTTGCCAGGTTTTCCTACTATTCCTGGATCACCCCTGTCTCCCTGCAATGAATGAACTTCAGACAGTATAATTTTTATAAATATGTATTATCTGTCTTAATTCAAACACTCTGGTTTATATGATTAATATAAGAAACACACACACACTTTTAGTGAATATCATCATCAAGCAGCAGGTTCTTTGCAGAATGTTGCTCTCGTAACAGCACGCCTGATAGTCTACCTTTCTCTAGTCAGTTCTACAGCCATTTGTGGTTTCATAGCCATTGCATCTTCCGTGTCTTGTTTCCACCTTCGCGGAGGTCTCTCACTACCTCCTCTTCAGCCATTAAATTAAAATTAGCCTGATTTTAATCTCATCTCATTGCATCTTGTGTTATCAAGGTAAAGTATAAAAAGGGGAGAATGTCAGTTTGTTTTTTTCACATAATTTGAATCCCTGTGTATATAATTTACAATGTTAGCCTCTCTTTCAATTTCTACATGGTCTAGGCATTATTGCTTGCTGAGGTATACTGTAGGTTTCGAGCTGAATTATTTCAATTAGAGGCTGAACCATTTGACCTGATTTATGTGGGGTTTTTTTTTTTTTTTGGGGGGGGGGGGGGCACTTGGTAAGAAATGATTCAATTGCAAAGACTGTGCTCCAAGGAACACTGGAGGGTGGGGAGGGGAGGGGGATGGGTGTAGTCGAAGAAGAACCTTGAATTACAACATCAAGAAATGGACAGGACTAAGTTATCATACAGTTATTCATCAAGCAGAAGACAGAGAAAGTTGTACAAGCATGCTCTTAACAGTGAAGTGATGAGGAAAAAATATGTGGTACTCTCTACAGTGTAAACATTAACTAATAACGCTTACACATGCAAATTAATCACAATTCACCACTGTGATATCCTCTTCCTGGCTCGTTCAAACATGAACAGCTCACTCACTTGACCTCACTCACCTTTATGCCAGGGAGGCCTCTGTTTCCTGGATCACCTTTAGAACCCTAGGTGAGAAAATCAGTATAATGAAGAACAACAAAATGTTGAATAAAACAGGCTGAACAAAGAAAGCACCTTATTCATGTTATCTTTAGTAATTTTTGTATTTGTCTCCTTGACAAGGATGAAATAATGATGTAAGCACCTATGAATGAAACAAAGTGTCTCAAAATATATGTAATACCTTTCAAAATATATATAATACCTTAACAGAAAATAATAAAAATTCAGTGGATTAACTGATGGCTAAGTGTTGTTGTAAGCCAAAAAATATTCTTAGTTGTTTTTGCCTTTACTTTGTCACCCTGAGAAGGCTAAATAAAACATGTCATGAACCTATAGGAATTCCCACAAACAATCTTTAAACAATAACCATTTTACACAGGTTACTAATAAATGTTTTAACAAATTTCTTTATCTAAATTTAAAAAAAAACACACACAATTTTCTGAAATATATAATCTTATATAAAAGGGGTAGGTAATCAATAAACCTGAATAGAATTAGGCAAAAAATAAAACATTCCTAAGGGTCCAAAAAGCAGTATGTATTGGGTGACTCATGCCGTGACTCCCTGACCTCTATCATTGAGGCCTACAGGACAATTTGACATAAACTTGGCTTTAACAAAGCCACTGGAGTCACAAGGAAACCCCTCTAAATGACATATTTAGTAAATATATTTACACCTGGGTCTCATATACAGTTCAGATGCACAAATAATCAGTGGCATTCGACTATTCCTTCTTAAAATATTTTTATTTTATTATTAACTCTTTAAGTCCCAAGGAACGCATCATACATTCATAGGTTACTGCCTAGAAGCCCAGTGAACGCATGATGTGCTGATTTGACATCTGTCTTGCTACCCCTTTGGCCTGTGATGCTAAACCCTCTGGGACTCAAAGAGTTAATGTTTATTTAATGTTTATGTTTATTCATTTATGTCATTTCTTAGAATAGTCACTGCAGAAATGGCTGAATGTCTGCATTTTTGGGGCTGTGTTACAAGAGGCAGTGAGTAGATTCAGCCTTCTTGGGGTGAAAGGTGCAAGATTAAACCCCACACTGCAAATGATTTTAAAATGTGACCTGAGTCCCAGGTTGAAACAGACTAAAATGGGCACCGGGAAATGTCCTAGGAAATAAAAGTCAGCTAGCATTATACTGACCACATGCCCCACTGGGTGATGATTAAAGTAAACAAATAAAGTACTCTTTTCACTCTGCTCTTGAATCAAGCTTGTGATGCTTGACCCATTTGTATTATAGCCCATTCAATATTCAATGGATGATGTTCTTTACATCATTATGGCCACCATTACTTCCCAGCACACTTCCTCATACCCAATTTAGGCTAGGTAACCCATGTGAATTATATATATATATGTTTTTCTGAACCAGAAGCACTTGAGCATACCTAATGTGGCTCAGTGTCATGAGCCTCAAACTCTATGCCACTTACACCATTAATCTAGGGAGTATGCAGCTTTACTGCCATCCCCCGGCTTGAACCTGAGACCAGACATGCATCAGGATTGTCACCTGGTGTCCAACGCACTATCAACTATGCAGGCGGGCCAGGCTCATGAATTATATAAAAAATATATCATGATATGGATTTGAACATAATATCTTCAGGTCAACAAGCTAAAATTTAGTCAGTGTGCTAATAAGGTTCCCGAGTACTGATAGGTCTATAACAAAAATATGGCACCATAAGTTCCATACACCTTGAAGAATTGAAATGTTTTTGATCTATTAAGGTATCTACTTTTGGCAGCCATATGCAGTTTTTAGTAAAGGCACAAGTCCTAATTTATGGAAGTCACAACCTCTAGACTGGTCCATCTCTGCTTGCGTATAGAAATGGAAGCAGAGCCTATGTTAACAAAACACACATGAAAGTTTAACCCCTTAAAAACATGGAGATAACAGGAATTTACCTACTAACTTTTTGTAATGTTATTTATCTGCCAGAGATATAGTTTTCTCACTGTGTGACTGTACTTCAACTTCTTTTGATTGTTCAACATTTGTTATCTAAACATCTTCCTTCCTCATAGGGCATATTCATAATGCTCTAATCTGTCCCAAGCATGTTTCTTTGTTTATGCTGATGTATCATGGATGTGTATACGTTTACCTAGCAACATCAGGCTGCTCCAAGGGACAGACTTACATCCAAGTCAGAAAAAAATCAGAACACTTATATCTGAGGTTTTGGTGCATGTTGATACTAATACACCATTCTTTTTTTCTGTTAATAAGCTGTAATGATTATAGTGCAGCATGGTTTTATTCTTATCCATACTGCAGTGTGGCAATATTCTTCTGTGTTCAATGTGTGGGCACTGTTCTGATATTGTTGTGTTCAATTTTTGGGCACTGTTCTGATATTGCTGTGTATAATGTTTGGGCACTGTTCTGATATTGCTGTATTCAATGTTTGGGCACTGTTCTGATATTGCTGATACTTTAGGTTATTATTACCTTAGGTCCTGGAGCACCTGGTAAGCCTGGAGGTCCCTAAAAAAGGAAATGAAAACAACATAAGGGAAGTTTATACTTTTTGCTCATTTAGTATATTTTTTAGACATGCCACATATTGTATAGTAAACTCAAGGACAGGTGTTATTTTTAAAAAAAACATAATTAGTTACTTAAAATTAAAAAGACATCTTTTTTTTTCTGCTGGTGCTTTAACCTTTTAAAGGTAGGTTGACACATTATGTTGTGGTGTACAGACAGCCTGTGTCATCTGCCTGTTTTGCCCAACACATCATTGTTCAGAAAACTGCTAATTAGTCAGATTTTACTAAACAAACATTAGTGGGCAATGGGTCTATTCTCTACACCACCAACCACATACCCCTCCCCCTAATATGAGGAAAATTAAAGAGATAGGATAAGTATTATTCTGGGGAGAAGTTGGGGGGGGGGGGGGGGGAGCACATAGAAAGAAAGATAATCGTTCACAGCAGATTAGACACGAAGCATTTATTAATCATAATGTACAAAATGAATGCCTATATAGAGTTTGTGAAGGCAAAATAACTGGCAAGCATGGTTAGACAAGAAATATCTATCTATACAGGCATAAAAAAATATAATGATAGTTCAATAAAGACACATATAAGACAAGAATAACTGATGAGGAATGTGTTAGGAACATTCTCAACCAGATTATGGATTGACCAGTTGATTGATGATTATTTTGTAGCAAGCTGAAGAACACTGCTCTCCTCATATCTTGCTGGAAATATTCAAAATCCTTTTGCCAGTTTGAGTGACTCATGCACTTTCATGCCTGTTCTTTCTAAATGACAGGGATTTTTCATCTGGCTAAATGATGATGATGACATTTTACCCTACTAGGACATCACACTGAGCGATAAACATCCGGTGACACAAAGTGCTACCAGTTGGATGAGGATCCCCCGTGGAGAGGTCCCTGAAACCCCGTTCAATCATTAGGTAATATTAGGGTCCCAGACAAAAACCAGGGTGCCGCTTCAGAATAATAAAAAAATATGTCCCATATGGGGAAGGCAAATTTTTTTAGTAATCTGGCTAAAGTAAGCAGGGAGGTAGGTAGTTGTACCCCATCAGACATCACACAAGCAATAAACATCCGGTGACACAAAGTGCCACCATGCGGATGAGGATCACCGTTGGATAGGTTCCAGAAACCCCTTTTAGCCGTTAGACCATATCTATGGCCTAGGCCATGTATTTATGGCCCGGCTATATTCTGGGCACCCTGCAGAAGCCAGGGTGGGGCTTCAAATTACACAATATTGCATTCCACATGGGGACGACTTATAAATACACTACTGGCTAAAGTATTTCAGTTTTTAATATATGATTTTGTTCATCAGTCAGTTTCATTTGATACTCTCAGTTTGTAAAATGTAAGTATTATTCTCTCTTAATCGACCTCTTTCTGAGAATTCTTCTGTAAAATTTCAGTTAAAACGGTGAAGCTAGAAAGTAATGACTGTGAGCAGGACAGTCTGAGTACTGTCTGTCTAGCAGTCAATAAAATATCAGACTATCACTCAATGTTCACAGTTCCCTCCTTTGTGAGGCCTCTCTTGGAAATGGTCTGGAAAATTAAAAACAGTGCATATTTGTCAAAAATAAAACAAAATACTTCTCAGTTTTACTGTAGGATAATGCAGGTAAATTAGAAACATAACTGACATATGTATCAGAGGTCAGAAAGAAAAAATGCCTCAATAACAAACCAAAAATCATTTTTAAGAGGCAAAAAAAATAAGGAATATACTTACAGGAACAATCTTTTCTATTCGGCTATCATTAACACCTCTGCCTGGCACACCCTGCCAAAGTAAATAACAAAATATATCAGTCATTTAATTATTTTGTGTGTGTGAGGGGTACCAAGGAACACATCATGCGGTAATTATAACTAATTTAACAACTCTGGAAATGACAGAGTTAATGATATTGTCTACATGGATCCCAATATTGGCATCAAATAAAATGGAACTAATTATAATATAAGATCTACTTAAATCTTTATCTAAGGAAGTGAACTTTAGTTATATAATAAGCAATCATCTCTCGCTACAAATGTGTCTAAAAAAAGTGCACAGTCACCATACCTATCACATATCAACAGTGAACATTAAAACGGATCTCTTTTCTATGAAAATTATTTGCTTTACTATAATAATATTTCACATTGAGTCAAATTTTTATAATTAACTTTGTCTCCCAGACAGACCCAGTCTAAAATGGGTACCTGAATCAAGCTGATATGCTGGTGCTCAAACCGAACCAAACAACCATATACCTATAGTGGTCCATTAATGTATTACTATAACTCTAACATTTATTCACACCATATTTAATTCAGTCATCTCCTTTTGAGATGCAATTTTTTTCAATATTTTGAAGCCCCACTCTGGTTTTTGCCAGAAGCCGCAATAAAGCCCGACCATAAATATGGTCTAATGGCTGAACGTGGTTTCTGGGACCTCTCCACGGGTGATCCTCATCCACATGGTGGCACTTTGTGTCATCGTGTGTTTATCGCTTGTGTGATGTCCTAGTGGGGTAAAAATCAACTACTACTACTATTCACACCCCCAAATATAAGTTAGTTGCGTATCCTTTACAGGACATTGCAGAACCATCCCCAACAGCCCCTGGCTGTTGTGTGGTTTCTCTAGGCAAGTTACATCCAGTAGTTTGCCATTGCTTTCTGGACGGTCGGCTTTCTTGATACCACTGTCGAAACCAACGCAAGGCGCATTGCCCGCAGCAGGGATCAAACCTGGCATCCCGGCATTACAAAGCGAAGCGTTCGCATCGACTTAGCCACAGAGCCGACTACCCCCAAATATACTTCACACAAATTATCTCCAAGGGATATAATATAAAATGTAAAATGACATCATTCACACCTACTTCCCTTAATTATTTGCAGCAGAGTACATCAAACTGAAGAAGGATTCCAGTGTGTGCATCATACAACACTGGACTAACAGTAGCCATGCAGCCATAAATCACCAGGCTGACAATCTACCCACTCCCAATTCTATCATCATCACTGCCCTGTTATGCCATTATATGTTACACATGGCTTGTGGTCAACTCCTCTATTTTGTTCAATTATGCAGTCAGTGTACCACACACCACTTGACTTCCAGGTTTACAGAAATGTGATTGTATACTTCTTGTCCTTTTTAGGACGAAATTTTTTGTTAATTGAAGCCCTACTCTGGTTTTGCCGGGGGCCGCAAAATAGCCTGGCCATAAATATGGCCTAATGTCTGAACGCAGCTTCTGGGACCTCTCCACGGTGATCTTCACCCACATGGTGGCACATTGTGTCATCGGGTGTTTATTGTGTGATGTCCTGGTGGGGTAGAGAGTCAGTCAGTCAGAAATGTGATCCTTACTTACATCATCAGAAAGTCCACTCAATATGGGACGCAACTTTTTTGTTATTTTAAAGCCTATCCTGAGGGGCCGCAAAATAACTAAACCGTTAAACAGGGTTTCTAGAACTTGTGGCTGGGTGATTTTCATCAAAATTATGACACTTTGTGTCATTGTGCATCCTTGTGAGGCTGAACTTCACTCACTCACATAAAATTTCATCCTTTCCAAGTTTATGTAACAAATAATTGTTTACAAGGTGGAAGAGCTAGCTCTATGCTAAACTCTCCTCCTTTTTCATCCGGGCCTGGGACTGGCAATGGTGGAGATCCCCAGACTGTACTACCCTAAACTAAATACAGACAAGTTTTGTTACTTACTGCAGGACCCGGTGGGCCTATGGGACCAGGTGGACCTGGCGGGCCTGGTCTTCCTTCTGTGCCCTGTAAATGTACATTTATTTAATTTTTAATTCCATCATTGTGAATTATTTACTGGAATCTCACAGTTGTGAATTATTTATCTCACAATTGCGAATTATTTACTGAAATCTCACAATTGTGAATTATTTACTGAAATCTCACAATATTTACTGAAATCTCACAATTGTGAATTATTTACTGAAATCTTATTTCAGATCTAATGATACTCAATTTATTGTGTGTTTTGTGTATGTGTATGTGTGTGCATTTGTATGTGTGTGTATGCATGCGTTTGATGCAAATAAATGTATTATTGTAGTTAAACAGATCATTTAACAAGGATCAAAGCAGCATATGCAACGCCTTTAAAGAAACATCACAACTCAGTAATGATAGAGTTCAACTAATAAGATTTCTTTCTACTAAAATCTTTGTAATGTTAATTATTTATTACAGAGTAAACATTTGCATTTAATGATTTATCCCTGCATGACCATGAGGTGAAGGGCAGAAGCCTAGAAAGTACTGGTTTAATAACAACAAGAACAGAAGTTATCAATGGAACAAACAAACAAAAAAAGGGGGGCGGGGGGGTTGGACCCCTTGTTTGTTAGCCTGATGACAGACAGTTATCCCTATGGGAGTTCCAGGACTCCATTGTGGGGAAATCAAGAATTGACCCTCTGCCTCTCCAGTGTCATAAGCATCGACTCATTGGGGGCTTTCTTCATAGTCAGAGTGCAACTGCCTGAGAGGCAAACACCCAGCAGTCTACATATAAATATGCTGTCAGATCTGTAAAACAAATTGCGCACAACACTCAAGTTCTGGATTGAGACTACAGTTCAGAGATGGGTGAACAACCAGAACTTTCCACTGGAGTTTACAGCCTATAAAGGCGAAGATGAAGAAGAATGAAGACAGAAAGTAACTGAAAAGTTTAAGAAATAAGCAGCATTAACAAACTTAAATGGCTGATAACAGAAACAACCAAATCTGTATATCACAATTATAATCCAGAATGCTGCTGTCAAACCAGTGCCTATCCATTTCAATGCACTGAAACCCCATGACATACTTACTGCAGGATACACATGCTGTGTTTAAGGGAGATCTGGGTATTTTCAGTGCAGCAGTGATGGTGGTTAAGTTTTTTTTTTTTCCGATGAACGATTTAGCTAGTCTCTGGAGAATCATTTTTACCTTCCTTGACTGTAACCGTTAAATGTTGAATTCAGAATCATTACAGCACTCAGGACACACCTATAAGTGCTCCATCTCCATCTTCAGCAGCAAGGGCAGAGTTCTAATTTCAATGGTACCAGTAATATTCTGACTGTATATCCGTCTCACCTTTTTCTTGAGGTTGAGCAGTGACCGGATCGCCTGGTCACTCCTTGCAGCATCATTCTCTTCAGACAATAATGATCTGTCCATGCCTCCATGCTGTTCACTAGCTCCCAAACTACCCCTACAATATTTAGCTTGCTGTGCATCTGTTCACCACCAAAAAGTGAAGAACCAGCCACTCTATCTGCATGTTCATTTTCCAACACACGGCACTTCCAGAGAAAATAGCCAAAGTGCTCTATGGAGCTTATCTGTCTTCACCTTTCTCAACATTCTCTGTGAGACAAGTTACAGTTATGATATGTGTGTACAGCGATTCCCAAAATGTTAAACTTGATTTAATGCTGCACACTATGGGGACAACCAGTTAAAAAAAAAAAAACCTAAATGTAACCTTTCACCTTCAGCCAAGCCAATCCTACCTCTCTAGATCACTTGTCTTTGCCTTTGCTCAAATAAAAGCCCTTGTTTTTTAAATATGGATGGTTTGACAGGTTTCTCTGATATATATTCTTTTATGCAGGTTTTTTCTTTCAGAAAAAGTGCCGGTGCTCACCATAAAGCATCTAATAAACAGCTGCCAGTATTCATCCTAAAGTATCTAATAAAAAGCTGCATGCACTCACCAACAAAGTCGTTTTTTAACTGCATTTTTTTTTTTTTAAAGGATGCCTTTTAAAAAAAGGGTGCCAGTACTGCATACCATTGCATAGCAATCGAAAAAAAGCCCTGCTTTTTCAGTAATAGTAGTAATTTTTCAAAAATATCCTTTGTAACTTCAGGGTTATAATTGGAACATATAGTGTTAATTGAGTTCTCACAGTATATATATATATATATATATATATATATATATATATATATATATATATATATATATATATATATATATATATATATATATATATATATATATATATATATATATATATATATATATTTCTTTTATGTATGTCTTAAAATTATTTATAGAACCAAAATGTAATTTATATTGTTTCACATTTTGCTTTGATTTGAGATTTAATTATGATAGAAATTGCACTATGAATAATTAGACAATCTTACTGACATTGTTTCATCAAAAGGGTGGATATATTGTTTACTTAGTGTGCCATCATTGATTATTCTCCTCAATTTTATCTTTAGGGGAAACTACTTAAAAAATGCCATGGGCATTCTCTACCCTTCTATACATGGATTTTAGTCCTAGTAATAAATTGCTTGACCTTGCAGCTCTCTATGTGCAGCAAGTTTTTCATTGTTATAGGTAATTTACAGAGATTCATGTATTCAGTTAATGGTTCACTTAATGGTGCAATGTTTGCTTCATGATTCGGGATTACATTTTACTAGAAAACTAACTTGTTCTACTTCATGTTTAGACTGATTTTTTTTTTATTATAGCTCAGATGGGTTGAACAGGATATCACTGATTACATTGTTACCAAGGCAAATGGTTTAATAAAATACAATTTATTTTGAACATTCATACATGCGAAAACAAAAAGTATAATTAATTGAGATGAATGTTGCAAATACCTTGGGACGGCCAGAGTAACTAACAATGATTGCTTGATAGAAGCTAATTAAAGTAGATCTCTATATACAACAATAAGAAAGAGACAAACACTGTTCTTTGGCCACATAATAAGAGAGACATTGGAGACCAAGAGAGATAATGCTGGATAGGCTGAAACATTGGCATAGAGGGATATCATCAAGAGAGATGTTCCAGGCAACCAGGAATCATGATCTGTGGAGACACAATAGCACCCATGCCAACTGGCAGGGCACATGATGATGATGATAATCTATTAAGAACATTTATACATACCGGAAATCCCCTAGGACCTTGGGGTCCCACACTTCCTTTGTCACCTTTGTCACCCTAAAACAGATGGAAAATTCATTAGGAACCATATTTATCTTTCAAAAAATGACATCTACCCATAACCAACAACCCTAATTATATTCTTCTTTGCAGAGTAATAGAAAAAATAAATTTTTTATTAAAAAAAGAAAATTAAAATTATTTTGGCCAACTTTTGCTAGTTCTTTTTCAAGCAAGTGGTAATTTTAAAAAAAAAGTTTGTGTGTGTGTGTGTCCTAGAAAACAAGTGCCATCACTCACCATAAAGTGCCTACACAATTATGCTGGTACTCACCACAAAGGGTTTATTACAGTAGCACTGAAAAAGTCATCCTTAAACAGATGCTGCTGCTGCACACCACTGTGTCCAACCAGAACAAAATACCTTGATTTAACCCAATAATTATTCAGTCTTAAGCAATCAAACAGTAGCAGCTTGAGGCAGAATGAGTTAAAGTGAAAGGATTGTAGAGAGGGTATTATAACAGTTTTGTGAAGAGGAAGAAGATGAGAACCTATAGCATGTTTGGGCAATTAACAAACACATGACAATTTAACTGACACTAAACGAGCGTATTAATTCATTTCCAGTTGGAAAACGAACAGGCAGATAGACTGGGTGGTACTGCACCGCTTGATGGTAAACTAATGCATGGCAAGCTAGATTTGTAAGGACCCTTTGGGAGCGAGTCAAAGGTGTAAAGGCACAAACAGATCATGATGATATAAAGGGACTGGTGCAGCCAGCACTGATTAAGGAATATGCCTGATGCTCAGCATTCAGGTGAGGGGCAAGATGGACATTCAATCAGTTTGTCACTAGTATCTTCAGAATTGGAACTCTGCACTTGCTGCTGAAAATGGGGATAGAGCCCTTATGGGAATATCCTGAGTGCTATAATGTCGGTTTATAGCACATAACTCAGAATTTATTTTTTCCAATCAAAAAGTGAAATGTGAATGGTTTTACTGTGTATCCCATATGATCAATTTCTTAGTAGTCAGTTAATTCACTGAACACAAAATATGACTAGGAAACTCACGGGGAGGGGGGGGGGGGGGGGGGGGGGGGGGGGGTGGGGGGGGGGGGGGGGGGGGGATGGAGTTTGATTACACACAGAAAAACAATTTTCTTCATCTTCTTCTTCTTCTTCATTTGTGGTCATCAACTGTAATCACAGACAAAAATGTCTGGTTGTTTGTCCACTTCTAGACTTTAGTCTTGATCCAGAACCTGAGTGTTGCATAAACATCCATTTTTATAGATCTGACTTATTTGTATGCAGACTGCTGGTTGCTTGCCTCAGGCAGATGCACTTCTACTTTGAAGGAAGCCCCCAGTTGGTAGACTCTTACCACATTCTTGTTGTGGGGCAGTAGGTCTATTTTTATTTTCTCCAGAAGGGGGCCCTGGGAAACACAGGGAGTTGTATCAGAACTTGTAACAATATTTTTTGTTTGTCTACAATATTTACTGTTTGTCTACAATATTTACTGTTTTTCTACAATATTTACTGTTTGTCTACAATATTTACTGTTTTTCTACAACATTTACTGCTTGTATACACTTGTAACAACAGTATGCACATGCACACTTGTTTTTGACTGAATTGCACATGTAATGTTTACTGCTTTCTTGTAAAAATAATGTTTACTGTTCATAAATGTAATGTTTACTGCTAAGCTGCAGCAGTCACCCTTCGGAGAAATGACAGTAGGTCAAGGAGTGTATTGAGTGTGTATGCATGAGTCTATCTCTGTTCTTAAAAAAAGATATAATTAGCATGACTACCTTTAGTCCTTGTTCTCCTGCTGCTCCTTCTGGTCCTTGAATACCTCTAGGTCCCTGAAATATTCAAAAAAGCATTATTTAGAATTGAAGGAGTAATTTTTTCCTCAAAAATAAAATAAAAAGCTACTTGGCTATTCTCTCTCACACAAGCCAACATTCAACTACTCACTCAATCCTGCACTAACCGATTCACTTATTCACACACTCACTCACCAGTCTTTAATTCATTCAGACATGCACCCTCTCATCTATCACCCATTCGCTTACACACTCCTTTACCCACAACCTGTAATGCATCCACACACTCACTCAAACCTGTACTTACCCATTTACTCAATGAATGACTCACTCACTCACCCACTAATCAGACATACACCCTCACTTATATAAACCATTCACTCCTAAATGCTCAACCTTCAGCGCATGTACAATCAATTAACACAGATACAGATGTTTTTCCATGTCATGATCCTGAATGGCCCACCATCTTTTTTCTGCATCTTGTTGCTAACAACTTTCCCATTGTCAGGAAGAACTCCTGCTCTCACCTTCTGATGAAATGACCAAATAATATAGATTGTCTCCACCTGATGTATATAATTAGTTCACTTTAACAATCAATTTCACTCAAGACATCTTCATTACACTTTTTGTATATCTTTCCATTGTGTTCTCATCTTTCAACTTTGAAATCCTATCTCTGCACATTCACATAGTTTTTCCCTAATCAGGTAACTGTCCATGATTCACTTCTGTACATCTGGATTGGCTTTATATCAATAAATTAATCAATCAGGTGCTGTCTCCACAGTGAAGGTTGACTGCAATGGATCTCTCTCTGTCTCTTGTCCTGGTTGTACACTCTCTCAGACTTTTGCCCATCCATCTCATGATATCCTCCACTTGTATCATTGCCTACCTCTTGCTCTCTTGCCTTAGACCTTTCCTTCCAGTATGGTTTTTAAAAGTTTGTTATGTCTTTTAATGTGGCCGAATGTGGCATCATATATCTCTGTCTAGTCACTACATCACTACGGCTTCCATGCCTTGCATATTATATCACAACGTCAAGTTTGAGAATGGAGGTGGAGGCAGTCTTGGCTGCCTTCCGCTAGTTTGAGAATCAGCCGTACACACATACTGTGATTGTAACTGACTCACAGAGCACGCTGAGAAAGGTGAAAACAGGCATGCTTCGTGCAGAGTGGCAAGTATCACTTCAGAGGTCCCGGGTAGTTAGCATCCTTTGGATATTTTCTCCAGGTATGCTAGTGTGTTGGGAAATGAGCAGGCAGATAGACTGGCTGGCTCTGCACTACTTGGTGGTGAATTGACATATGACAAGTTAGATATTGTGAGGGCCCTTTCGGAGGGAGTGAACAGTACAGAGACACAGATAGATCATTACGGTCTAAGGAGAATGGCGCTGCAAGGAGTTACCAGGGGATTTGGCCGACCCTCAACACTCAGAGGAAGGATGAGATGGATATACAATAAGACAGTTACTGGTACCATCAGAATCGGAACTCTTCACTTGCTGCTGAAGATGGGGACTGAGCACTTAAGGGAGTGTCCCAAGTGATGTGATGTAGATTCTTAATTCAACATTCAACAGCTCCCAAGCTTAACATACTTTACAGATAAAATACGACTACTGTGTGAGAGACAAGTGGTCTGTGGGCTGAAGTAGGACAGGCCTGTGTGACTAAATTGTGATCCTATGAAAACAAAGAATGTTTTTTTTTTTTCATTTGGTTATTTTATTGAAGGAAAAACACTTACAACATCTCCAGGAGGGCCTCTTGGTCCTGGCGGTCCGGGAGCACCTGGATCACCTTTCACCTGTGGCAGAAAAGTTTTCAAATTTTGGATACTAGAGAGATGAAATTACCTGAGAATGACAAATAAACAAACAAAACAAAATGTTCACGAAATAATGTTTTTTTTTTTAACAGAATTATTGGTAATGGAACCCTGTGCTGACTGCTGAAGACTGGGATGCAGCAGTTATGGAAATGTCTTGAATCCTATGATGTCAGTTCTCAACTAGCTTCAGAAAATAACTCAACAAAATTTGTTAAGTAAAAGGATCGTTTTCCCCACCCTTAGGGGTACTGAGTGCACAGGGCTAGACCTATATTTTATAGACCAATCAACACTCTGTGGGTGATGGTGTCAAGATTATACTAGTAGCCTTTACTTCCAAAGACTTTACCTGGTACTAATTTTAGGCTTTAAGACCTAGTAGCCAAGGTCATTAAAATAAAAATCTGACTCAATGTGGATTTGAACCCATGATCTTCAGGCCAGCAGACAAGTGCATATAAGTAAAATGACACAAATTTATGTTGGCAATTCTGTATACATACATACAAAAGTAACAAAAACAAAATGGTGAAAAACAAAAAAGTATGCATCCAGACAAAATACTTTTTTCTGCTCAACTTTGTTATTTTCATTAACTGTTAAACAGCAATTAATGGAATGTTATGCTGAATCTATCTCACTGTGAAATTTAAAATCTTGAAGATTTTGAAGGAAGCAGAAACATGGCTTTGGAGGTGTATGTTACAAATAATTTGGACTGCCAGAATAACTACAATGGCATCAAAGAACAACGTGCTCTTTTGCATTTGGGAGGGGGGGGGGGGGGGGGGGGGTTGGGAGGGCAAAAGGGCTACCTGCAAAAGACATTCATAAGGAAATGCTTACTGTTTATGCTGATAAATATTTATACCATAAAGCGGCGCATAGCTGGGTAAAATTTTTTCCTAGGATGCTCTAAAATGGTTGACGAAGTCCAGTCTGGTCATACTGCTGAGATTGCAACAGATGCATCCATGCAGCAGGTGGAGGAGATGATAAGAGGTGACAGGTGAGTAAAGGTTGACTCTGTAGCAGCTGCAATAGGGTGCTCACATGGTGCAGCATACAACATAATGCATGATCGATTTAAACTTAAGACAGTTTGCTCAAGACAACTGACAGAGGAACCACACACAAAAAATTAACCGATTAGGTGTGTCCGCGCAGCATCTGTTGATATGTAGGCAAAGGAGAAGACATGCTTAACAGGATTATTACTAGGGACGAATCATGGGTACATCACTACCAGCCCAAATCAGAATGTGCTTCAATGCAATAGAAATAGAAACATCCTTCTTCGCCTGGTGTTAAAAAATTCAAGGTTACGCCATCAGCAGGGAAGGTTATGCTGATTCTAGGATTGTCAAGGAGTGCTTTTAAAAATTTTAAACAAACAAAACAAAGAGCGAACTCACGACTTACCAATCTGCAAATGAAGCCTCTAGCTGAGAGGAATACTGCTGCTTCACGACAATGCCATACCACATATGGCTCGGTTAACTCAGAAAATTAACCTTCAAGGGAGGGAACTTCTGGAGCATCCACCTTACAGCCCTGACTTAGCCCCTAGTGATTTCCACCTTTTTGGACCACTGAAAACCCACCCTGGCTTGAGACATTTCACGAATGACACAGAAGTTGAATGTGAAGTGAAAATGTGGTTTAGAAAACAGAGCAAGTAGTTCTATGCAGCAGGTCTAGAAGGACTGATAAAACGATAGGACAACTTCATCAATCTTGGTGGAAATTATGTTGAAAGTGACAGTGTATGTGTACAAATAAATAGTTTTCAAGTTGTCTTTAGTTTTTTTTTTTTTTAAACAAGCATTTGTGACTTACTTATTGACTTCCCTTGTAGACTTTGAATTTATATGTTCATTATTAAACACTTGTATTTAATTCAAGTGAACATTTTTATTTTGCACAGAGTAAGAAATAAATAAACAAAATTATATTTACAGCTGCACTTGCAGAACCTGGTACACCAGGCAGCCCACGTTGTCCCTCACGCCCTGGATCTCCCTGTAAACATTTCATATTTTTTAATACAGAATTCTGACAGATGTAAACATTCTCTTGTTCTGTAAAAGTAATTTCTTCCTAACAGATAATTATAACTATTTTAATTCTCTATAACTAACTTCTTATTGACCCCCCCCCCCCCCCCCCCCCCCTTTCCCGAAAAAAAAAAATTCAAACCATTTTAATCTGTTTAACAAAGCTCTTAATGGCAGATAAATATAAAAACTGTCAGTTTATAACACTAAAGTATTCTAAAAGATAATTCTACAAATAATTCTAAAGAAACTAAAGTCTCACTGATAGATAAATACAAGTATCAAAATATTCTACATTTATAACAGTATGGTGTCCTTCAAAGAACGAGATAAAAGTATTCGGTTCTATAGCACTATGGTCTCTCTTATAAATAAGGTTAAAAATATGCTAGTTCTATAAAGCTACAGTTTCCCTGACATACATACATTCTGGTTCTGTAGATGCAGAGTCTTTCTGATGCATTAAAATTAATATTTTCTACTTCTATAAAACTTGAGTCTCCTTGATAGATAAAAAGAATTATATTCTAATTCTACAGAACTAAGATCTTCCTGACATATCATTGTATAAACATTCCAATTTCATAAATTAAGGTCTCTGTAAATATTATATGTAAATATTCCACTTATGTAAAACAAAAGTCTTCCTGACAACTGATTCTGTTAACAGTTTCCCTTTCCAGCGATAGCGGAACCAGACGCTAGAAGCCCTTCCGATTTGTCGCCCAAACCGCACACGGTTAAAGCGCGAATTTGGTTCAGACTGCGTGAGTTTTTAGTTTCTGATTTAGTTTTACTAGTAGTATTTTTAGGTTATTATTTTGTATTCCTTGGTGGGAAGTACAGTAATATTGGGGTTGGCTGTCCCATGACTACTTAATAATCTAATTAGATATAAGTTGAGTTGAGGTAATTATTGTTAATGTTTGATATAATACTTGTGTAAATATAATAAGTGTGCGAAAGGCACAACATAGTTTCGGAGTCACAGTGGGCTCTTCATTATAAGAGTTTAATTTGAAGAGGTTTAATGGCGGACAGGGAATGCCCTAGAAGTTTCCATTACGAAAGCGATAATTCTTATTGTCTACAGGCAAGTAAGGATTAAGTTAGTTCTATTATTTCAGGCTAACTTAGTATACGACTATGATTTTAACACAGGTAACTAAGGATTTGACACGGCTCTACAAGCCATGGTTCTACACGAGCCATGTGTACACACAAGGTCTGCTACAAATGGCGGAGTGCCACGTTCTACTGATACTGTACTAAATTAAATAGTACCTTTAAATATAGGGGCATCTCGTAAGGAGATTCCTTTAATAAATTACAGTCAGGGTTGTAAGTGATGTTTCAGCTGTTGGGTTTTATGTAATATCTAATTTCTTGAGGTTTCAGCAACATGAAAGGGGTTATGTTACAAACAGGATTTAGGGGATTAGAATATAAATATTGCATTGTAATATTTCGTATAGAATGACAGGTGGAGTTAAGAACATGAGTGCACTCATTATCTATGATTGGTAATAATGATAAGCGGACGATTCATAACTATTGTTGTTTGATACACTTTTGGGCACATAGGGCTAGACCTATATTTTATAGAACCAGCACTTGGTGGGTGAGGTGGTCAGCACCATGCCGGCCGCTTTGACTTGATGGGGAATTTTGTTTTAAGGAGTAATAGCACTCAGGATAATTATTGGGTGTTTATATGTTGTAATCTGACATCTGACACAATGAAAGAAATTAAACGGCGACTATCAATTGCTCTTCAAAGACTAAAACAACTGAATAAATTATGGAATTGTACAGATAGAATTACAAAGGTCAGATTTTAAAGAGCATGCATCTTTCCCATTGCAACATACGCCTGTGAGACCTGGACACTTACTAAACAAGCGGAACAGCGCATAAATGCATTTGAATATAAATGTTACAGACAGGTTCTAAGAATATCTTGGGTAAAGAAAAGAACAAATGCATCCATACTTCAAGAGCTGAATATTGAAGAGGGTTGGCTAGTAAAGACAATAAAACAAAGAAAATTGAAATATTTTGGTCACTTGAAACGTCATGGAAGTCTAGAGACAACAATAATGGAGGGGTATATGCCTGGGAAGAGAGGAAGAGGAAGGCCAAGGAGAAGATGGGTGCAGGATGTGGCAGATGATCTCCAGATGGGTGTATCAGACGCAGGACATCTTGCTCAGGATAGGAAGGTTTTCCGGAGGGTTGTTATGGCAGCGTGGTTCCGCGAGGGACATGCTACTGAATGAATGAATGAATGAATCTGACATTATATAGTGTTATGTATTTTTATAGGCCATTGCTATTATCGTGAGATGTGTTGCACATCTGCTGTTGCGCATGTTCCCAGCCTGGTAATTAAAACCAGAGCTGATTGTGCTAAATCGCACTGATGACCTCTATCGCAAATGATATTGGACACTAGATGCCCAGGTCAGAAGAAGCAAAGGTACCTAACTATGAAATATGTTATATGTTAAAGTGGACAGGGAGTCATTATTCTGTTTTTCCCTACAGATAACGGTACTACCTGGTTGTTGGTCTGCTAGTAGTTGTCAGTATTTTGTTTTTCATTGATTTACTAGTTGCTTGGTTAGTTCTACTGGTCTGCTTATATATTTCAGTTAGTAGTTCTTCAGTATATTTAGTTTTTGGAGTGTTGTCAAGAATTATTGTTATGTCATCAACAAATAAAGTTTCTGTATTCGTCGACTTACATTCTTGTTATTTTAGTTAGTATGCCTAGGTTTTACTGTTAGACTATATTAGACTACACACAGAAGATTTCCTGCCAGGGTGAGATACTTTGATTTTACCCCCGCCTAAATGAACTTTTTCTCTTTTCTTTTCTTGCTACTGAGGCAGCTTATGGTTGGGCTTAGCTCGCCACGCGACATTGTTGAGAGCTCTTGTAGGTTCGGAGTCGAGATTTCAAGGAGTAGATTTCCATAAATGAATGTCCACAACTCTGTGATTATTTTGGTTATGCACCCTTTAGACTGAGTTTCCCCATATCTCACTTTTTCCTTATTTTTTATATTACTGTCTACATCAACTTCTACTGTTCCTTCCAGTATGGTTTTTCTAAGTGTTAGTGTCTTCAAAGGTTGCCAAAATGTTTTTATTTTTTTTTTTTTTCATAACTCTCTTTTCATTCTTATTCCTACCTGTCCAATTCCTGTGTTTTTGAACCTCCATCCCCTTTCCCAACAACCAGATCTTCAGTATATTCAATTTGTAAATACTTGGTTGGACTTTCTAATTGCTTCTTCACTGTATGCATGTACAAAACTTGCTACTGATCTAACAGGTAGAATTCAACAACCTAAAATCTAATCAAACAATCAATAAATAACACAGAAGACTACAGTACCTTATCCCCTTTAGGGCCTTGTGGGCCTGGCAGACCTGGGGTCCCCTAAATATGAGACAGACACAAAAAATATCAGTTGACAGTTGACAATATATAAAGTACAGTAATATGGACACTCAGGTCGACTCAGACTTAAATGGGTAGCAGGAAAAAGTCATCGGAAGTAAATGTGGCCGGCAGGATGTTGACAATATCACCCACAGAATGCCAATTGATCTGTACAAATATATGTCTAACCCTATATGCCCAACACACCTGAAGGCATAGAAAAAGGTCCTGTATGTTTTAATAGCTCAATCAATTTTTAATAGTATTGCCAAAAAGAGCAACCAAGAGGTTTTGAAAGAAGCGGGAGCCTGAAGACAACTTATCACAGACATCAGAAGGAGACAGTCATCATTTTTTCGGCCATGTTATGAAAAGAGGGAAAATAGAACATGTTGTGACCACTGGAAAGATCTGTGGAAGGAGGAATAGAGGAAGAAAACCAGAGAAGGTTCTTGACAGTCTTGTTGCTGCATGGCATGGAGGTGTGTCAGCACACGAACTGATACATGCTGCAGGAGATTGTGGATTATGGAGAGGCATGATCGCCCACGCTAGTCGGCAAGGCACCTGATGATGATGATGATGCTTTTAATATGGACACTGAGTAAACCATTTCAGGATAATATTGAGGATTTCAAAATGTTAATATTTAAATTTTTTAAACAAAAAAAAAAAAGAATAAAAAAATAAAACTGCACGAAAGATTAAAATTAGAATACAATTTATAATTTCAAAAGAAGCAATATGTGCTAATGTGGTCCTAAAAAATATGCTCCAGTAAATTCAAGTAACTCTAGAAGATATGTATTCTAGAAAGATGTGATATTTTAAACAAAAAACAAAAAAAAAAACTTATAAACAGCATCATTTTTCTTTTTCTTCTTAAGGTGTAATGTAGATATCACCCACCTCTGTTCATTTCTGTGATTGGCCTTCCCTTTCAATTACTGATTCCAAGAATGTGTAGGTCTGCCTGTGTATTATCTCTCCATGATATTTCTGTCTGCCTTATGATCTACTCAAATTTACATCTTTTGTTAATGAAGTTTTTGTCTCTCTGTTATCTGCCATTTTCTCTACACACCACAGACATCATGTCTGGAAATAATCTGACCATATTAATATAATAGGTTCAACAAAACCAGGCATGATTTCTATTAAAAAAAGCCAAGGGTTGAAGAATTTAAAGATACAGACATTATATACAGCACAGTCTAGTAATTAAAATATCTGAGGCAAAGAAATATATACGACTGATGGTATTTATAGAAGACAATCATGAGAACAATGTTCAGCAAAGGGCCTCCTGTATGATGATGATTAAAAATACATTAACATGACTTACTGGTGTTCCTGGCAGGCCTCTCTCTCCAGGTAGACCTGGATGTCCCGTCACGACCCTGTGGACAGGTAAATTATCTGAGGTTTATATATTATATTATTCTAACAATAATCTCAGTTGAATAAATTGTGATATTTTAAATACTGAGCCAAATGACTAAATGTCTGTAATAATATACATTTGTTCTCTCAAAGTACTGAATGGATGGCAATAGCTAATATAAGTCTCAAACATTATGAAGGAAAATTCAAAACACTGCCTGAAGATTGGAGGAAGATAGAAAAACTAGTTATGTAGCAAATACAGAACTTTGCTCTCACCTACCCTATTCTTCTTCTTCTTCTTCTTCTTCTTATTATTATTATTATTAAAATTGTTATTATTATAATTATTATATTCTGGTACCATCAGAATTGGAACTCTCCGCTGACTGCTGATAATGGGGATGGAGCATTTATGAAATGTCCTAAGTTCTGTGATGTCAATTCTCAGTTCAACTTAGCTCAACTCAGCTCAAATTCTTCTTCTCCCGCTCCTCTTCTTTTTTTTTTCTTTCTGAATTCTTCCCATTTTCCACTCCTCCTCATTTTTTTATTATTTATGTTATTATGGTCTTCACATTTCTCGGACTGTTCTTGCATTGTGCATATTTACAGAAAAAATTGAACTCTTTTGCCTTTTGATGCATACAGCTATGCCATTCCTAGTAATATCTTATCCAAACAACCTTTCAAGATTACAAATTATATTTTAAAACATTTCAGAACAACACAGATGACACTCACCGGATCTCCCTTTGGCCCACGCACTCCTGGAGAACCTGGTTCACCCTTTTCTCCCTGAAAAAAAAAGTGTGATAAATCAGCAAGATTTCTACAGTAACTTTCTTCAGGTGAAGGTAAAGCCAACTCTAGCTATAAATTCTTGACATTGTAGCAGTGGTAGTAGTAGTCATTGTTTCAACCTCACTGCAATTAGGTCACCATGCTTCATTCATGTGCCAGTGAAAATCAAACAAAAGGTCAATAGCTGGCCCATTTACAAAATTGTGGGGAAAAACAATTATCCTGGCACAATCCACAGATGTGTGCACATGGTAAATGCATGACAGTTGTCAGAGGTGCCAAAGCCAACCTAGTGTTATTTTAAAGTATCTGCTGCCTTCATTCAGCTGTCACTGGCTTTGGTCTCTATGAACTGGTAGTTTTGCTTTTGACAAAACTGCATACTTCTCTTGTGCTCCAGTCAATTTGTTATTAAAATCTATTGACCTTACATTGAGTCAGGGTGTTCTGTAATACTTCAACATAGTTATCTCTTTTCTTTAAATAAGCAACACATAACCAGTCATCTCCACCTGAGATGCAATTTTTCGTTAATCTGAAGCCCTACCCTGGCTCTTGCCAGGGCCACAATATAAAAAAAGTTTTAAAAAGTAAAGGACCCTTTTCCACGCCTTTAGGCGTATAGGGCATATAGGGCTAGACCTATACTTTTATTGACCAATCGGCACAGGATGGGTGATGTGGTCAGCATCACGATGGCCACCTTTACTTCCCAGGACTGCACCCGGTACCCACTCCAGGCTGGGTTGACCTGGGAGCCAAGGTCATTTTTGAAAAAAGTCCGGCTCGGCCAGGGAGCGAAGCCACGACCTTCCGATCTGTGGCCAGCATATAGCCGCTCGCCTACGGCGACTCCCCGGCCGCAATATAACCCGGCAATAAATATGGTCTAATGGCTGAACGCGATTTCTGGGACCTCTCCATGGCTGATCCTCATCCAAATGGTGGCACTTTTCGTCATCGGGTGTTTATCGCTTGTATGATGTCCTAGTGGGGTCAAATCTACTTACTACTACTAATTCTCTTAAAATATGTTGTGAATTTGATCCCTGTGGATGTAGAAGACCTATGAGCTTATTGTTGTCTTAATTGCCACTCTTCGATATCAGCAATGCCATTCTAGGACTGAGAGAGTTATTTTGGTATGTAGATTCCGACTCGTGTCTCTTCGTTTTTTTTCTTTCTCGACTCCTGAAAAGCTTCACAGAGTAAGGGCAAAAACAGATCTCTGTAATTGGCCCTTCTATTTGCTGTGTGTAGCACTTTTGAGTATTTCCTATATTTAGATGGTCCATTTTCTGTGTGGTCGGCCTCTGGCTCTATTACTGTTGCATGTGTATACATTGCTCTCTGTGGAGCCCTGTCTGTTGCCAGACTTATTTAATGGCTAAACCATTTATTCTGTTGTCTGCTAATAACGTTCAGTATTAGTTCTGTGCAGACTTTTCCTCTGATATCATCCTTTTTAAGTCTATCTAATTGGTTTGTATGTGCCATGTTGAATTATGATTTAGTTAAATCTGAATAAAACTTTCTACAGATATATAGTTCCAGTACAAATCTTTAAAAAATGCTGGTTTTTTGTTTTGTTTTTGTTTTAATTCTTTCCTTCAGTCCCCCCCCCCCTTTTCTGGCATTGCAGCCCGAAAGATTCAAAAGAAATGTCTCAAAGTACCAATCTCTAAAAGTACCAATCTCTATGTGTGAATCCAAATTGAGCAAATCTGAGACTTCACAATCAATCTTAGTGATTAGTGATATTTTCATCATAGCACTCCAGACAGATCCACAGGTGCTCCTCCTCAAAAGCTCCACAAGCATAAAATGACTGATGATGCCTCTTCTGTACTGATTAATTAAACCTCTTGTCCTCTTGCTGGAATGTTCTTTTCTGGATTCAATCTTTAATAAGTTATATTGCACCCTTGGGTTGCAAAGTAACCTGCAGTTCTGTGTGTCAGGTAGTTTATGTAGACACCTTGCTAGCTCCTCCTGCCTCTACTCCTTCTGCTTCTTCTTCTGCTTCTTCTTTCTGCTTCTTCTTCTTCTTCTGCATTCACCCTTATAGGGGCATTTTACATACTGTTGTGGTTTACAGCTAAACTGTGATATCTGCACCTTTCGGCCCAACACAATCAGTTTCAGCAAACCTTTTTATGACATGCTTGTTATGGAGCAGAAGGAGTATTCTTTTTTTTTTTAACCAAACTAGTGGTATCCAAAAACCATACAGTGAGTGAGTGAGTGAGTGAGTGGGTGGGTGAGTGAATGAGTGAGTGAGTGGGTGGGTGGGTGAGTGAGTGAGTGGCTGGGTGAGTGAGTGAGTGAGTGAGTGAGTGAGTGAGTGGGTGAGTGAGTGAGTGAGTGAGTGAGTGAGTGAGTGAGTGAGTGAGTGAGTGAGTGAGTGAGTGAGTGAGTGAGTGAGTGAGTGAGTGAGTGAGTGAGTGAGTGAGTGAGTGAGTGAGTGAGTGAGTGAGTGAGTGAGATTCAATGCCACAAGGACATCCACCAAGCGATCAACTCATGGGGACACAAAGTGCCACCATGCAGATGAGAATAACATGGGTAGAGGTCCCAGAAACCCTGTTCTTCTTCTTCTTCTTCTTCTTGTTCACCGGCTGTGAATTTCGGCGGGAAGTCGCGGTTGTTCGTCCAAATGGACTTTTGGCTTTTACCTCGACCTGAGTTTCGCGTGTACATCCGTTTTACTGTCTTATTTGTTTGCAGTCCTCGTTCCCTGCCTCACCGGCAGATGTACTCCGACTTAGAGGGAAAAACCCTGTTCAACCATTAGGTTAAATTAGGGCCCC